TTATGTTTCTGGGCTGTCCCTGAGAAACAAGGAGTTTAAGCTCTCTTCAAAGCACCTTGATATGCTTCTTATCAAGGTTCTGGTGTGGAAGTCTTAAAGAGTTCTGATTTGAAATCTTAAAATTTGTGGAGTAATGTTTTAGCTGTTTTCCAAGAAGCTCTGGTGGAACAGCTTGGGATGTCTGAGCTGCAGAATATGATCAGAACCAATCATGTAATATTTCGACAATACCACTTGTAGAGGTTACAATACAGATGTGCAAATTGTAAACATAAATACAGGCAGGGATTTTGTTAAAGAATGGGGCCACAGCAAACACAGCTGCAAAGCTACTTTAGAGTGTGGCTGCTATAAGCCTAGTCTGCAGATCAACAACAGCTAGTTGGAGCTGAGTTTTATTTGTGACTTAAGTTCAATCATTTATTTTAAAAAAAAGAAGAAAAAAAACAAGGATTAAACACTGGGCAAATTCATCACTAGTTTTAGTTTATTTAATACCCTTATTTATTGGATTATTATAGATTACTAAAGAGATTTTGGACTGAAAATTATTATATGAACAAAACACGCAGATAGATTTTAAACAACTATGAATTCTTAATAAGAAGCAGAATCTGTGTAGAAAGGTTTCATTTGATGCTTTACTTTTACTAATTGCTACAGCATGTTGTGTGAAAGACTTTACTCACTTTCCTTATGAACATATTAGCTTGGAATGTCTTAAACATTTCATATATTAGGTTCTATTACATCATCTGAAGGCTTTACACTAAGACAGAATAAGATCCCCAGTAAAAGCATGTTATTTTGTTTAGGAATGTCTACAAGGACAATCGCACTCTGGAGTTGGCCTGTGACTCCCAGGATGACGTGGACAGCTGGAAGTCGTCTCTCCTACGTGCCGGGGTCTACCCTGAGAAGACCATCACGGTTAGTGAATCCACTTAAGCGCAGCTCAGTGAGAAAATCTCAATGTCAGAGCAGCTGCTGTATTTGGTTTCAACATCGTCACTGAGCTCAGGCTTAGATTTTTCACACAACCAATGACAAACATAGATATTTAAAATTAACTTTGGAAAAAAAACATTCTCAGATCAACAGGAATCAGATAAAGGCCAAAATCCCAATAACAAGCATCAAAGTTGGCGGTTGTGATGTACTTTGGCACAAGCAAGAATGAAATTCACTTTTATTTCTCATTACTTTAGACAGACATACTGAATGTTGATAAACTCTGATGTTTGATTTAATTGACAAAAAAAGTTCTTCTCTGCAGAAGAAAAAACAGTCCTAACAGATGCTGACTTCTCCTATTGTACTGAAAAAGCTTCATTTTTTGGCTATAAAGGAGATAAAAATCTATGAATATGGAAAATAAGGGGACTGTTGTTTGAATGATAGCAAAAAATATACATTATTTAGTCTCTACAGGTTAATACAGAGTGATTGAAACATCACTACAATTAAAGCACATAAAGCGAATGTGGGTGTTTTATATCCAAACATTAACAGCATAAACGTTGTTGATTTATTTCCACAACTAATAACTTTCTGCTTTATTTCTTTGGCATTTTAGATTAACTATATTCCAGTATTGCAGCAATTGATTCTGTGATCAATGTTGTTTTACTGCACTGCATTGAATATTAGATTATCATTGTTTTTGTTCATCATCATTGTTTTATCACAAAGTGGAAAAAGGCTTGTTCTAAATGTGCTCATATAAAGGAGTGGTAAAAATGTAAATAATTGGAATAGCTTTTTCTTTTAATAAAATCTTAACTCCTTAGTGATGTCATTTTTCTAACTTAAGGACATGAACTTTTCCTCCCTCTGCAGGTTGAGAGTGAGACCACCACAGCCACAGATAACTTCTCCATGGACCCTCAGCTGGAGCGTAAAGTTGAAACCATCCGCAATCTGGTGGATTCCTACATGGCTATTGTGAACAAGTGCATCAGGGACCTCATCCCAAAGACCATCATGCATCTGATGATCAACAATGTAAGAGATAAACACAATTTTCCAGAAATGCAGAGAAGGAAAAAATTAGATGTTTTGAGGAAAGTCATTGTTTTATTCCTCTGGATCTACACCTCTGATGTTTTCAAAATGGGAGTTAAAGCCCCCCAGTTGATAATAACACACCGGTGTGATGTGATCACTGAGGTATATAGGGCCAAAATATATTCTGAAATACATAAATGGTAATTTCCAATGAAAAAAAATAAATGTACCAGGAAATATATAATGTTACCCTTATTTATTCAGTTATTTAATATATGATTCCAATATTCCAGATACCATTAAATTGGAGAATGCACCATTAAATAATCCAAAAAATACCTTTAATGATAAATGATATTATTATATGTCATTAAAAAATTAAAATAATTTCAAGATAAATGTAATTATATGGCTTTATATTCATAAAAAAAATATATATTTTTTATTTTTTATTTTAGGGGCTTTCTCATCTAGTGTGTTCTTATTTTTTGAGTCATAGGCTGTTGGGAAGCCTGTGCTCTAAATAGACACCTAAATGTCCAACATTAGATGATTAATACAGCTTTATAACAGTACAGAAATATCAGGAAATTACGTTTTCTAGAAATTCCTCTTTCTAAGAAGGCCCATCTTTGTATTAGTTCAAAGAAGACTATACATGAATGCTAAAAATAGTTTAAAAACCATTAACATACGAGAGCAGCCATAATCAGCTACAATAGATATATAACATCCAGTGATCAGCAATCTGGATCCTGTATGAGTCATGCCATTATGTAATTAAAGAAAAACACTAATAAACGTGAGCAGAGCCATAATATGAGACTTTAGAGCGTTCAGGATACATTTTAAATCAATATCGTCCATAGATCATTTTCAACTCTGTGACAAAAATATACATTTGTAATTTTCAAAGAATGTTTCTAATACAATATTAAAATTTGCTCGCTAACACCATTCTTCTCCATACGTCTAAACTAACTGTCGCAGAAAAAGCATTTTAGGGCCTAGATAGAGGATGAAATAGTTGCATATCAAATACAATTGCCGTATAACCCGCAGCCCAACATATAACTATAGAACAACTCTTCCTAAGTGATGCATCGATATAATTTTCTTCTCTGAATCAGTTGGAATGACCAGGGAGATTAAACCAGCACAGAAAATGATTCACCAGTCATCACTGCACAGAAAAGAGAACAACATATTAAACCAAATCTGCAAAGTTGACCTCAAAGAGATAGAATCAAACTGTATTAAGAGAGCTTTATTAACTCCATGCAGTACGGTCTCTATCCATCCATTTTCTTCAATAAAGGTCAAGAAAACAACTTTGGCCTTAATATGGCTGTCTTTTTCAGTCTCTCTGAACGTCTTGTCAGCTGTAAACCTGCTTGCTTTCACCAGTGCATTCATCATCACCTGGTGAAGTTAAACACATCCTACCGGCAGTTACTTACTCTTGCTGTCACCGCTCTAATTCTTTTTTTCTTCTGTGTTTTGTCTTGTCACAGGTGAAGGACTTCATCAATGCGGAGCTGCTGGCGTGCCTGTACTCTGCAGGTGACCAGAACGCCCTGATGGATGAGTCCCAGGAGCAGGCCCAGCGAAGGGATGAGGTGCTGAGGACCCACCAGGCCTTAAAAGAGGCCTTGGCCATTATAGGAGACATCTCTACATCAACTATCACAACCCCTATGCCTCCGCCTGTTGACAGCTCCTGGGTGGGAGGAGCTGCTGGTGGTCGCAGGTGAGATGGATGTGATATAGACATGAAAACAATACTGGCCTGATATGATCCAGAGGCTTTCATATATACAAAATTATGATTTTTCTTTTAATCACAACCCTTTTGCTGTCAAGGTCTCCTCCACCCAGCCCCACAGCACCTAGGAGGATGTCTTCAGGCCAGCGGCCGGCTCCCAGAGGGGCCCCACCACCGCCAAACAGGCCGGGACCTTTGGGACCCTTCAATAATAGTGCTGATAGCCCTCAGGCACCCAGCCGGCCTAATAGGGCCCCCCCTAGCATTCCCAGGTAAATGCAGTCCTCATCTTGATTCAAAATACTATTTCTAAAGAATTAATTAATTGGAGCAGGTAAAACTTAATAATGAATTTTGCTGACAAAATCATGGTTGTACAAAAAGTTTGTTTTAAAGATGCATTATAATTAAGAAAGATGTTACTAATCCTATTTAAATTACGGGGGGGTGTTGGCCTAGCGTTTAGAGCAGCGTGCTTGTGCTTTGAGAAGGTCACAAGTACCCGGTTTGATCCCCACAGCCTTTAAAGAGTTTTTATGAAGTAAAGTCTTGTTTAAAATGGACCAATAAGCAACAATTTATCTACAGGAGACTAGATTAAACTCTTGGTTTTTAACCAGACATCTAAAGCGGTTTAGATTAGTAAACTTTGCCGCGAAATAAAATGTTAGAGCCAATATTGTCAGGGTTTGGTGTTTGATTGAGGACCCAAATGCAGAGGCAAGTAGGCAGAGGTGAATTTAGGTGGGTTTAATGAGGTTCACAGGAACTGAGGCAGGAATCAAAAAATCCAACAAAAATAACAAACAAACCAGAACCAAGGAGACATCAGGGAAAAACCAAACTCTAGGAGCCAGGGAGAGACAAGGTACGCAGACAGACGTTAGACGAGGATCCAGCAAACAGGAACTGAAGAGGGAGGGCTTTTAAAGGGGACAGAGACAAAGAGAGGGCTAACGAGAGGATTGAAAACAGGTGAGGACAGAGCAGAAAACAATGCTAGGGAAAGAGGACACAAGAGGGCAGCAGAGGACAACAAATGGAAAACCTGGAAGACAGGAACTAATAAGAAAACGACAAAATAATAATTAAACACTAAAACAAGAAGCAAAGTAAAGCTGAATACTCTAAATAAACATAACAAAACCAAGACTGTGACAACTATACTCTACATTAAATCACATTCAAATACACCAACCAACTAGGGCTTAGCAATACTTCACGATTTTTAAAATATTGGCATATTTTTGAAAGCGATATGAAACTATATGGCTTATTTTGGGATGGGGGTACGTTACATTGCCATTCTAGTTTTATCTATGCCAGCGGCATATATTTTTTGTTGCCATTTCTTATATTTATCTACAGTTGTTTTCCTGTGTGACATTTAGGGGCAAAGCTTTGATTCAGATGTGCCTTTTATTAATTGCTTTATAAAAAGAGAAACATAGTGAGAAAAATATACTCTATATCACCATTCAGCTTTAAAATATGGAGATTTTTCCTCATTATCTTCAAGCTGGATGAACTAAGTGATTAATTAATCTACTGCAGGTTAGATAGGAAATACTTAATTATAATAGAACCTGACTTCAACGCTTGTTTGGTATGAAATCATTTAGGCCTTTTAAAATGTTTCTGCATTTGTTCCCATTCAAAGCTGTCTTTAACATGTCCTAAGAGTCACATTGGCATTAAGCTTTAATCCCTTGTAGCTTTTAATATGTTTGGTTAAATCAGTCTCTGTCAGTATTTGTATATTTAATACTAGACCTATCAGCATGAAATTTGTCTCTTTATTTAAGAAAAATGCCAATCTTATTCCTTCAGGATATTTAGGTACCTTGCTGATCATAATGTTGACCCACCAAAGCAACGACAGGTTCATTAATAAGTTATTTGTTCCATTAATCCATGTAGTAGGCACAAATGTAATGTATTGAATGCAATTTCACATCTACAAGATGTGTCTATCTACAGTGCTGTTTACAGAGACAGTAGTAATGCATTAGTGAGAGTGACTTATGGAGGGGAAACACACCTATTACTCCGGTACTTCTCCAAATACAAACACTTAGCTTTCTGTTTAGTTTAATAAGGCGATGGAAGCCACTTTGCAGAATTATAATTGATTCTTCTACAGGCTGCTCATTGAAATCTCGGCAGTTTCTCTCATTTTCCACCTACGCTCTTTGCTGCGGAGGCCAGCTGGAGTACCGAGTGGTTTCTATAGTAACAAGGCAACTTTGCATTCACACGTTTTCCAGGATTTTGATGTCATTCTTTCAGACTTACAGTATTTAAATGACTAGGGTCGGTTTAAGAGATTCTGAGAGTAACACAGAGGTCTATATTGTGACCTTCCTTGGAAAACACACTAGCTTTATGATGTATATTATTCTAATTTTAAGTTACAAGTTTTTAATATTTTTTGCCATTGTGTGATTTTTGTATATGTACTAAACTGCTTTATGAATAAAATTGGAATCGGATTATGATGAGTATTAAAGAGGTGAAGCCAGGTTTAGAAATACTTCTTTCCTAAATTTGCTCTGTTAGTTTTAAGGTCACCAACATGTACAATTCATGGATCTTTAGAGATCTCTGCATTTGATGCAAACCAAAGTGCGTTGTAGAGCACATTGAGTCCTGGATCAGATATGGACTGGTCCAGATTTAAGCTGATTTCAAAGATGGTTGGCGTGTGGATATTTTTGTACTATCACAAAAATCTTCATTTTTTTATTAAACATTTTACTCAGATTTTTCCATTTCTCCTTAAAGACCATGAAGAGATATTTAAAGATTGAATCAGTTTTTCTGTTATAACCTCTCTGTTAGCAGTCATTTCTTATTTATATTAAAAAGAATAATAAAAATAAAACAATGACATGGTGTATGTGTAAAAATCTAATGTTAAATAGTGGGGTTTAATTCGATAATAAAATAAACTCTTTGGGATGTTACCTTTTAAAATCTTTACTAAAATATATAATTTGATTAGAGCAGTGTTTGGAGCTTGTTAGGATAAGTACAACCTTACTTAAACTGTGAGCTCACCAAAGAGCTGCTATCATTTCTAGATTTAATATGTTTTATAAGCCACATCTGGACACGTCATAGAGACTTGTTCCTGTTTTAATTCATCTCTCTGCTCGCCCAAACTTTTTTCTTCAGACAACTTGACCCTAAAGATGACAAACATCACAAGAATTATCTGTACCTTATGCTGCTACATAATTATGGTGCGTTAACTGATCTGAAAAAGAACCGGATTTTCAATCTATCAACTATTGAGCAGTGAGGGGTGATCAAGCTCCAGACATCAGGCCTAGTTAGAAGAAAATACTGCCTATTGTAGAGCTGGTTGAAAAGAAGAACCTTTAACCTTAATCACCAGGAAAATATTCTGGAAAAAATAAATGTTTAACTTTGTTTAAATCACCAAATCACCGTGGGCCCTTAAAGGCCTTCCAATCACAAATAATATTTTGGAGATGTATTTTTAGCAACAACAACAAAAAAAACAAAACAACTGATGGCAGTTATGAAACCTTTGCAAAAACAAGCAGTAACCTTTAAAAAGAAAACGTGTCGGTGGTTGTTAAAGAGTTTGTTTTTTATTTTGTAAAAAACACTTAATAGGAAAGCAATTAACCTTATCACACTTTGGACTGGTGACTTGATTGTGTTGGTTTCGTCCTTAACTCTTCAGAGGAACCAGTAAGGGAGACAATGTCACAGCAGGCAGTAAGTCGGCTGGGAAGAGAGCAGGCTTTAATCGCTGCAGAGGTGTCTGACAGATTAGCAGAGAAAAGTCCATAATCCAAGTCAGACAGAGGTCAAACATGTAGAGGCAGAAGTCAGGTAAAAAACTAAGAAATGGTCAAGGCTCTGAGATCGAGGCAAACAGGTTACAGGGTAGCTGTCCAGGGATGAGGCAAGTTTAAGCCTGACAGGGAAATCCAGGGCACAGAAAAATGGCTGTAACTTGGAGACCAGAAAAAGAAATAGAATAAAAATATATAAATATAGCAGCTGGAGCTTTACACAACCTGGTGGAAAAACTTTGTCAGGACGGCTTCTAAATAGAAGTGGACACAGGTGTGAGCATTGAAGCTGATTTGAAAGTTTTGTTGTTAAGCGTCCAAAATAATTGACATGCATGACATTTAAATTTGTGTTTTAGTTAACAGAAATGTACTCAACTTGTATTCATCTTTGGAAATGATATAGATTTTTCAAAATCTAATGCATAAAGTATGTACGGAGGTAAAGTTTAGGGTGATGGCAAAGGGGTCTTTCAACCTCAAAGACTGTTAGCTTAACACCAAAAAAAGAAATAACAATCATATTACCAGTGGAAATATTTACAAAACTACAAAAGCAATGAGAGCAATTGTTGGGGATCCAGTTAAGATATCTTCATTAACTCCCTTTGCATTGTTTTAAAGGAGCTGGAGAACACGGGAACTGTTTTTCTTTCCAAGCTATATAATATTATAATTGAACTTTACTGATCTCACATTGGAGAAAATTACCACTGCATTTAAGCCATCTCCTTGGGGAGCAGTGGGCTGCCATCATTGGACGCACGGGAAACAGTGTGAGGTTCAGGGTCTTGCTCAGAAAGCCAGAGTGGCATTCTGTGGGAGAGGGGTTTGAACTCAGAACCTCAGTATTCCAAGCTTTATGCTCTAACCACTAGGCCGTCACTCCTCAGCTAGTAATGTCTAAAACAGATTTCATGGAGGAGCAATGAAATTCTGATTAATTCAGGGTAAGGTATAAAATGTTGGATATTTCTGGCTGTAGCGTGAGCTAACTAGGCAACAGGCTAAACTTATGTTAGCGTAAACTGATGGACATAGCCCATCAAAACGCATGAAAAATGAGGCTCCTTCTTCTTTCTTGTTTCCAGTTTTGTTTCTGTGAAACAAAACTGGATAAAAGTTTTTATCTTCAAACTTTATATCCTAGCATATTTCTAAACCTAATTTCTTGAAGATGCCTAAAATTCACTCTATTTGTGTTTTAGATGCAGTATGATCAACTTTGAATTATCAGAGAGAGATATTTTCTATTTGTTTTCACACTGATGAATAATCTGTTTTCTTTTGTTTTCCCTTCTTTTCAATCCTCACCTCTTCCTGCTGCTCGACACATCACCACCCCCCACCAGCCGCCGACCACCTCCGTCTCCTACAAGACAAGCTCCCCCATAATCAACTAAAGCCCCTCTGTCCTCCCCTCATACCCCCTCCCCTCTTAGCCATGGCTCTGCTGTCCTCGTCTCTCCTTAGCGAAGGCGCCGAAGTCTTTGACCCCTTTGAACCTCAGTTTCCTGCCAGGTGAAGACGTCCATATATTTATGTACAGTATGGTACTTGTCTTGTGGTGTGTATATATGTGCGCTTGTTGCTCGCCTGTGATCCAGGTTTGCTTAGCAGGTCCACTACCCTGCAACCCTTTACCCGACTCGACCCTATGATTCAGCCAGCACCCCCAGTTTCTGCTTCTACATAAAAAAAAAATAAGAATACTCTCAGCAGTCATACTGCCCTACTCATTCCAAAATGCAGCATGCCACAGAAGCTGCTTTTATTGCATGGGAGTGTGTGTGTGTGTGCGTGTAGAGTGTGTGTGCTTGTGTTTTGTGTGTGTGTTTATGGGGGAGGGATTAATTTGCCTATATGTAGGCTGAGTTTGATTTAGTATTGTATTAATTTATTGTAGAATTACCCCCCCTCCCTCATTCCCACTGAGTGTTAATTATCAGCTTGATGTTCTCTTAGGAACAGAAGTTGTATCTTAGTATAATTGTGTATAAGCGTATTTCTGTGTGAATAATACATTGTACATGTGTAACTGCGTGCTGTGTGCGTGTGTGGGGGGTGCGTGAGGACACGTGTGCATGTGCTGTCTTTGCACGTTTGTTGGCATTTCAGTTCTGTTTGTTTTCACTGTCAAAGCTGTTAATGATGAATCATAAACCCCGCAGGAGGGGAAATTCAGTGTTTGACTTTTTTGTGAGTTGTTCATGTGTCGTAGTAGCAGCCATACACACATAGCAAGGCTGAGGAGCACCTTCAGTATTCTCTATATGGAAAACAGGCTCGATAACACATTTAACCTCGTCATAGGTGTCCACCTGTGCTGTATCCATGGTCCGTTTGTGACCCAAACGGCCTCAAGCTCCCATTCAGATGCTGACTTTGAAGTTTTGACTTGTTTCAAACCTACGAATGAAAATTATACAAAGGCAAAACAGGTTTTTAACACAAGACCATCCATGTATTCATGCATCCACACTCTAAAAACTGCTGGGTTATGTTATTTCATTTTTATTGTTACCCCTTACCCAGGCTAAAAACAGACCAATCAAGGCCAGAGTTGATTTTAACACAGCAGGGTTAGTTTTTAGGTATTTCCCAGCATCAATTCAACTCTAAAATGAGTCAGAAATAACTAATTTGTAAAGTTAAGTCTGCATAAGAGTGAATTATACAGGAAAACCACAACTTTTGTGTTAAAGAAACAACCCAGGTGTTTTTAGAGTGCATTAAGAGGATTTTAGGAGGGCTAGAATCTATGCCAGATGTTATTGGGTTCCCTTACAGGACCAAAACGAAGACACAGATACGCACAACCATATGACATGTTTCCATTTAGCCTTTTTCTCAGGTCTGACCCATGCGTTTATACCCATCACCAACTTGTTTTCCTCTTTTAGCCAACTTGTTGGTCCATGAGATCCCTGAAGCCAGTCCGTCAGTATTTGCATCAGAGCTTACGGTTGTATTGTCAGTGTTCAAGTGCTTCTCTGTCACTTTGTTATTGTGTATGTAAGCCTAAACTGTATTCTGATGTATATAGGTAATGATAAGGACATAGTGTACCAGTGGACTCTAAAGACCTCATCAAGAATCCTATCGCTTTAATCGTTCTCTATGTCTGTATTCACTATATTCTCTCCTCTCTCTTATTTAGACTGCCTTACTGGCATGGATTACAATTCTTTATTGCCAAAGTTAAATATAGAAGGAGAATTGTGAAGTAAAAAAAAAAAAAGAAGAAGAGGAAAAGATATAAGCTAAAGATTCTGGCTGATGTGGAATTGGCTAAAACTGTTTAGCAGAAGACATGATGTTAAATTTGGAAATGCTCCAGTTGTTATTTTCTGTGTCTGTATTGCTCCTCAATAAACTTCTTCCTCATAATGTCATTTATTGTCAACAGAGTGATTATTGGTGTATTAGAATTTGGGTTTGGGGTAGAATTACGACATCCGTCATACTTCGTTGAGATTTCTCATGTGACAAAAACACAAATTAATCTTAAGTGTAAATTCAATCTGGAAGACTCTTATCAGCTTCACTTGAACCACCTGCGATGTCCCTCGTTCAGCTAAGCCAATCAACTGGAGGTTACACTTTCTCCGAAGCCAATCATCTTGCAAGAACCCCTTAATTTAGCTCCTGGCCTAGCTTCTCTCTCCTGCACGCAAGCCAGCTTTCACCCACCTCCATCCCATCTCCTTCTTCATTCTCATTCCCACTCATCCTCTGGCTTATTCCACCACCAGTGACCGGGACCTCGGCAGAAGACCACTCCAATCCTTTTCTAGGTTATTTATCCAAACTAAATAACTTATTTTATTTATGTTTTCATCTGCTTCTGTCTCCTTGAGCCCCAGTCGGCCTCAGCTGATGGCCGCTCACACTGAGCCTGGTTCTGCTAAGGTTTCTTCCTGTTAAAAGGGAGTTTTCCTCTCCACTGTCACTCCACTTACATGCATGCTCAGTGCAGGGATTGCAGAGAGTCAATAAGTCCTCACAATCAGCTGGTTTTCCTTAAATGGAAATATTTTGAAGAATGAATGTTACAAAAATAAATTTAACATATCCTGATTGCAACTTTTCTCTGTGTGAGTCTCTCCAGGTTGAAAAGCATATTATAAATGGGAAGCAATCTGTGGTTTTTCACATTTTATTAAAAATAGAAATCTAAAACCCTTGATTTATATCTGAGGCAGTTAAGTTCTCCTGTTAGTTGATTCAACATTGCAGTATAGTTAATGTAAATATGTTTTTTAGGTTACACATGGTTAATTATCTCTTCTTATAAGCAGGAGGATGTGTTTCCAACTTGTCTGACTGTGCTTGATGTGTTTGGTTTTCTTTGATTTTAGTCCCAATAATTAACATCATTAAGATCCCAAAAAATAAAACCTAATTTGTTATGAAATGATTTTTTTTTTCTCCATTGCTGCTGCAAGCTAAGAACAAATTTTTTAGGAAGAAAAATGAAATCCTGAAATGAAACTTTGAAACATAATAAAACAAAGTTTTTAAATATAACTTTTCCTTTTTTCCCTCAGATTTAGTTATGTGAGAATTCTTTTTTTAAATTTTCATATATTCACATTTTCATTTTTACAATTTATTTTACTACAAGTAAAAGTTTACTGGGTTAAAAATCTACACAAGTTAAAGTATTGAAGTACTCATTTTTGAAAATTATTTATTTTTTTTAGATTTCAAGAGAAAGAAGAACATGTCAAACATTATTTCCGCCGTGAGAGAAGATCTGAAATTGATGTAGGCATGTATATACATTGTTGTTTACTTAGAAAACAGCTTTTGATCTGGGCACTTATAGAGTGCATTTTGTTCCGTTACTGTTGCACACAAAGAAATGCATTTTTTGTTGAGCGGAAGTTTTAAAAAAATGCAATCTAGAAGTAAAACTTCTTTCTGAAAAAAGGTTTTGAGAAAAAGATTTGCTGTTTTTCTTAGCCTTTTGAGTTTTAACAAGTTGCAGTCTTTTTGAACTTTTACAGATCACATTATCTTTACTTCTGCACTTGTGCTTTCCACTGGTGAGGACAGCAAAGATACCTTTTTATTGGTCTGCATGAACCAGCAGTTTTATTGGTCAAGAACAAGCATCTGTATTGGGCTTAAGTGTAAAGATTATGTGTAAAACACAATTTAAAAAGATTGAACTTTGTAAGACTCAATCTGAAAAAGATGAATAACAAAAATTCACTTAAAAAATATAAAATCCTTGAAAATATATTCAAAAAATAAAGTAAAAACATCAAAGTCATAATATATGAAAATAATAAAAAAAAAAAAAGTAAAATCTTTGAAAAAATAAAATCTGAGAAAACAGCAGAGACACTGTCAAAGTCTTCTTTTGATTAAAAAGTTTTTCAAAGTTTATTTCTGGATAGAATTTTTTTTAAATATTGCTCTTAGTTGGGCTCTAAGGAACTGCTTTGGAACATCTAGAGTTGATTTTTCAAAGTAGAATACTTTATAAAATAAAAAAAATCATAAACAACCCTGAGCAAACTCTTTATCAGGCTGTGAAACAACAGCAGTGTCTTTTTTTCTGATGCTTCCTCAGATCCACTGTAAACGAAACCATTACAGGAGACCCTGACTGTCTTCAGATGTCAGCATCTGGAGCAACTTGTTGAAAAGGCTATAATACTTAAAGCAACAATTTACTTCCCTCTCAGACCTTTAAAGTATTTTAAATTAAATCTAATAATAAAAAGGAAAATGTAATTGTTATTTTTTGCCTTTGCATGCAAAGATTAGACATTTAAATATATAAACAACTTTCTTTCATTACGGTGTGTATTTTGACAATAAAAACAGCTGGATAATAAGATATTATTAAGTAGAGCTTTTGTGTTAGCTTTTATAAGAGCACTAAAATGGGTAATTCTGAATTTTATGTAAACGAGAATAACACCACAGGAGACAAATTAATGGATGTAATTTTTACCTCCGAGGCATTTGAGCTGTATTTGGATTGCAAACTTCTCAACCTTTAGATTTATAGCATTTTTTTTGGTGAATAAGTCATCAGATTCAACAGCTCAGCAAAGAAAAAAAACTTGCTCAGTTTTTGTGAATCACCATAAAGCAGCATACCAACCAGGCTGTATGGTCACCAGCTGACTTGAATAAATCCGATTTTTAAAAATTACCTCTGATCATTTCAGTGTGCCAATGTTCTCTGCACAAACTGCTTCCATGTGTTTTACTGTAACCAAATCTCTTTGAAATCAATGCAATGTTCTCATATTCAACTCAAATATTTTACTGCAGTCATTGAAGTAGACAGATCTGAAGAAAATAGAAGGTTAAAACTGTAGATAATATTGAGAGGGAAAAGCGACATAAAAATATAAAATAGATGTACTTAAAAGGACTGTAGAAAGTTGCCTTGAGCATTTGGAGATGTTTGTAGAGTTGGATTTTAGAAAATATTTCACCTTATCATATGAGGAATTATAACATAGCAGCAAAACATATAACATGATGTGTTGTTCTAAGATATAAGTGATAAATTAAGTCAGTATAGTTTATTTTTTTTCCCTCAAGGACGGATACTGCTTTAAGCAGCTCATTAGCCCTCCTTATACAAATGCTCCACAGGTTGTTATGCAGCACCCTCTAATGGCCTTAAATGGGAATGTGAAAGTATTGGGATCAGACAAGGCAATGTGCTGCAGCTGAAACAGTTTTCCCCAACTTGACAACCAAATGTTGCCTGGCACAGAACCAATTTAGGTTCTTGATACTCAAAGGAATGTTGGTCTCGCAATGTTCCGTCATTTGTCATTACAACCTGCCTTTTAAATGTTTCCATTTCCCCCATTTAACAGTGCTTTCTATCATAGCTTGTTTTATACTTCATGGTGCATTCACGGTCTGTTCGTTTCCTTGGCAAAAATAAACAAAAACAAAAATACTTTGCATCGCACAATGGTTCTTCTTGCAGCAAGAAGGCCTTTTTGCATTGAATTTACACATTCTCATCATGCATGATGCGGGGTAGTCTCCAGAAACTTAACTGGCTACTCTAAATTGACCGGATGTCAGTGTGTATCTTCTTGTTTTTTTGTTTATCTTTTTTTTGTGATTTGTGTTTTTTCTTCTGTGTCGTCTTTCGCTTAGTATTGGACAACTTCTTGGATAATGAATGAGGAAAAACAAGGAAATGCTGGACTTATTCCTTTAAGATGTGTGCTGCTGTCCATGGTCCTGGCCACTTGGACTTTGTTAATCATCTTATAAATACTTAAGGTTGTTGCACTAGTGTGTACTAAAAAGGCCTACTACACTATCCATCAATGAGCAATGAGCTGTCATTTTCTCGTAATACAGAAAAACTACCTGAAACTTAAAGCATTTTTTTTATTATTATTATAAAAGCAAACTTGGATTTCCAAATACATTTTAGAAAGAAGACAGTAAAAAATTCTAAAATTAAACAAGAGTGTTAAGACTTGTTTAGGTCTGAGTTGACCTTTGATTATTAGATATGACCACGTTAGTTAATATGACAACCTCTTAAGTTTACAGGGTGTACTTGAACGTACACCTGAACAAAACACAAAACATTTGGGGAAACATATTGTGAAACTTAGGCTCGACTCAAAAACGTAGAACAAATACCACGACGATTATTCTTATTTACCAAAACTTACTTACTACTAATAAAAGCGCTTTGATTGAAAATGTGACTTTAAATAAATAAGTTAAAGTATCCCCGCATATTTCGGGCAGTGGGCGTATATAAAACGAACGCACCCACAGTTTTAATTGCGCAATAGCCTCGCTGCGTTTTCATTGGTCCGTTGGATGTAGCGTCAGAGCTGCACTAACAGTCAGGAGGAAACTGCTCGGGACAACAAGCGGCTAGCATCACAGTTCTCAGTGAAGCAGTTCAATGTTGAGGACGAGACGTTAACGAAACTCGTAGAGTGATTCCTACTCCAGCGAGGACGCTAGAAACTAAAAGGTCAAACGTTTCTTTGTGTGCGGCGAGGATGTCTGTCCCAGCAGGAGAGGGATGAAAATGACACAACTGTTGTGGCGAAGTGTGTCAGTGTGGCTATGTATAGCTGTACTCTTTTGGTGAGTCGGTCCTTCTCCTTTTATAACACCTGTTATATATGAAACTTTTTTCTGTTGGTATTTCTTGGGGAAAACGACTAAAAAAAAACATTCCACGTTTAAACCATCGGACACTAGTGTAGCACTAGCTAGCTAGTTAGCCCTGACGTTATGTTGTGATGTGGCACCTGGCTGACTTCTGACCTGTTGAGATGAGGTAGTTTTAGCCGCTGACTGAGGTTCAAATGCCGAGGTTAGCAATGTGTCATTTACACGTAAGCCTGAAGTTGAGTCTTAC